TTCTGTCGCAAATTAAGAGATCAAGGCTCTCTTTATTTTTTTTTTAAATAAAACACAGCAAATACATGTACATGTAATTATAAAAACACAACATTTAAGTACGAAACGATACATGAAATAATGTATTATTTAATTACACATAAGACAGCTTAAAGTTCCATACTGCAGCATAAAATACATTTGTATCTCCAGATACCAGATTAGTTAACAGGTGATGCAATATTCATCACTAAAAATTTTCTAACTTTATTGTTTCTGAATACTCATGTACATGTATAACTTTGTTGTTTGATTTATAAATAATGTTCTGCCATTAATAATTACATGATTTTAAGAAATTTGTAATAAAACAAATACTGCATGTATTTATCAAAAGAATGCGATAGTAGGATAGGAGAAATGTATGTGAATTCTTAGTGTTGTCTTCTACATATACATAATAGTCCTTAGAATATAATTTTTTGAGTGTTGAAAATACAACTTAAGATATTTAGTTTTTATTTTCATAAAATTTTGTTGAAAAAAATTAATGATTCGTTTGTTGTCTCATTAGCGTTGATATTAGATACAAGACTGTAAAACTAGGCTGCGAAAATACACCAGGTTATAGTTCTGTTCCATGATTTCCGCTTGTGGAATGCAAAACGAAGGGCATTTGTCATGATTTGTGCTTCTACTTAACCGTGTTTCTTGTTTCAGAACTACAGAAGCTGAAGTAATACAATATAATTTTTAAAAAAATTAACCCAAGGCAAGACTGCTTTAAATTCATATATAATAATTTTAAAAAGTAAACCCACATAATAATATTTAGGGAAAAAAAACAGTTTGCAGAAATCTCCTCGTAGAGCAGACCCATTCCTTTGCACATATTGAACAAAGTATCTCTGAAAATGTGGTATAATTTTGATATGTGTTCGTTAAACTTTAAACAGTGAAGAACACAAAACTATGATTTATCACTCTGGTTTGATTTTTCTGTATTCTCTCTCTCTTTTTATAGATATGACCAACATTGAAATACTTTACTTTGTTTTATTTTTTTTTAACTTTTTTTTTTGGTCGTTCAACCTTATTTTATGTTTAGATTTAATGATTAGATTTAACGGTTATAACGATCCCTTTGTTCCCATTCTATGTAATTTATTGACATGTTTTCCTGTCTGTACGACAAAACCTAGTCCTTAAATCTTTTTTCGGTGTCGTCTATAGAAACCAATTTATTCCACAAAGCAAAATCAGACTATTATGAAACCAAAACAGTTTTGTAGAGATAACTGCTAATGATTTTGTTTTAATTCTCACTCCACTTTTAAGGGGTGGTCAAATTGCCATTTTCTAATAATGTATGCAAATCCGATATTCCCTAGTTACCCAATGTTTTAAGTAAGTCACGGCTATTTGTATTCCTTGTCTCAAATGATCGTCATATATGCCAATCAAATGAACATATGGTGTGAAGATAGGGCATGCTGCAGTGGTATAATAAGGCATGCATGGCAATCCTATATACCGATGGACGCCTTCTCACATGAGTTAATGTGTCAATTTACGATGACCATCGCCTTCCGATATGGAATGGTGCATCCCTAATTAGCAGGAGTGATGGATGGGTCAGATTTGTACATTAATTTTCTGCTTTCATTTTTCTTTCTATTGACAGATCAGTTTCCCAGTTTACGGTATATCTAAATGCCATCTATAACAATTGTTATTTATGGCTGTTCATCTGTCTTTATATTCATCATTTAGACTAATCGATTTCACTACTGACATACATATGAAGAATATATCTCTGAACGAGCGGAGAATAGATCATATTTTATCTACTTGTCAGATTTTATATTGAATTTCCAGAATATTCGAGCATTTTAGATTCAGACAGGTAGAAATTAAAATGTTTTGACTGTTTTGCTTCTTTTGGGGGGAAAATCAATCACCGTAGACTATATAGAGTCTTTTTCCTTTTTGGCCAGCAGTACTTTTGATTTGATTTGTTTGTTTGTTGTTTAACGTCCCTCTCGAGAATGTTTCACTCATATGGAGACGCCACCACTTGCCAGTGGAGAGCTGCAAATTTTTGACCTATACTCGGCACTTAGGGCCATTGAGTAGTGAGGGATCTTTTTCGTGCCAGCACCTACTGCGACACGAGACCTTGGTTTATACGGTCTCATCCGAAGGACCGGTCTCCACGTCCCACAGCGGGATTCGAACCCTCGACGTAAGGATCAACTCCTTACTCCGCGACTCTAGAGCATGGGCAGGTATACCATTAAATGAAAGATTATGTACACTTTGTAAAACCAAACACGTTGCTGATGAATTCCATTTTATACTTGAATGCACTGCATTGTCAAACATTAGGAAAAAGAATATTAATGAATACTCTTTTACTAGACCAAATATACTTAAATTTTCTCAATTGATGACAAAACAAGATGCTAAGACACCAAAAAAAAAAAACTCTGTACTTTTATATTAAAAATGTATGATTTAGTCTGTCCTCCATGATTTTTCATCATTTATACCATTATTATATCTATTATATGTATTTATCTTTTTTTCTTCTTTTTTGTCCTCTTTCACTTTTATTTTCTGAATATGTATATCATATACTTGTACCTCTGACCTAAATTTATATGCTGTAGATATTTTTTTCATTGTCCTCATGTACCATATATTTACATGGTTTTGAGTGAATAAATGAATTTGAATTTGAGCAGTCGCTCTAACCACTGCGCCACGCGGGCGACTTTTTGGTTTGATACATATATAACTGATATATGATGTATACATGTTTGGACAATTTTAAATACTATATGCATCTTCATGTCAAATAAAAGCTATTCTAAAATTAAGACTGTATCTCTTTTGTTTTTTAGTGTAAAACTTATCCTGCTAAAGATTGACAAAGTCTTACATAACAAAGGTTGCGGTAGCCTAGTTGTTGGGCGCTCACTTCGAGGCCCAGGTTCGCTCTGCGCAACTTAGGCAGTAGTTGGCACGAGGTAGAACCCTCACTACTTTGGCCGTAAGCGCCATGCAAAGTTTGACATTTCCTGATGATGGTGACGTCTCTATAAGAGTGAAAAATTCTGAAATTGGAGCATAAAAACAGCATATAAAACCAAACAATCTTATGTCATGTTGTAAATTTTGAGTGCACTGGATGGCAGAGAATTCAAAATTTACATTGTCATGTTGTAATTTTTTTTATTTGCTGCCACCCGGTATATTCAAATTTATAAAATGACAATTACATGATAAACAGGACACAGCAGAAAGGGAAACTACTGTAAAATCGGTGGATGGGTAGGGAAGGTACAGAAGGTAGGAATGGTAGGAGAAGAGCGATGGAGGAAGGTGGGATGAGAATAATGGAGGGAAAGAAGAGAGAATAGCATGGACGGGAGGAGGGAAGGTGACCTCTTCTTCAATCTGCTACCAAAACTCTATTCTGGATTCGTCGATGGAGCTTGCTGCGTGCATGTTACAAACTTCGTCTCTGATTAGAGATTGCATAATTTTTTCACGACGGATATCATTTTGATGCATCTGTATCATACACATATGTCATTCCGTCGTATTGTAACATTTCAAAAATAAATTTAATTCTTTGAAATAGCTATCCAAAACTTGATTTGCATGCGTGAGGAATAAATTTCAGTAGACGTCGTCCCCTTTCTGCGAAACTGAAGAGAAACAGCATAAGGCATTTTAAAGGTGGAAAAAATCAGAGATTTTTTTTTTGTTTTTGCTTATTTGCTTAGTCAACGTAAATTTTCAATAATTTTGCAGTCCGCTGTGCAAGAAAAACGACGACTTAATGTGTTTATCTTAGAAAAAAAAAATTCGACATGACAGGGGTTTATATTATATTATTTATCATTAAGGACTCAGTTTCAGGATAGTTGACATTTGTGCCGCATCTCTGGATTTTCACGGTAATTTGCACGAAAATTCTCAGAAAGAGGGTAGCTGATGAGTAAAGCTGTATGGAAAACAAATGTTCGTTAGTGAATGGTTTTCCATTTCTTTTCTTTAGGGTTCTCTAGGATCAAACATAGACATTGTTGAATTAACGCCACTTTCAAAAGTTAGATGAGGGGCAATCATAATTATTATACATTCTTAGATGATTTTTTTTTTAATTGGTTCTCTTTTTGATTTTTCTGATTTAATGTTCTTCATAAATGTGAAAACAAATCCTTTAAATCTCTATAAATGAGATTAAGCAAACATTTTTTTGATAATTAGGTTTCCTGTTAATCTTCAAGTATTCTCTACTTAATTCTTTATTTCATTTAATTTGATTTCGACATACACATGGAGTAAGATTACTTTTCATTTTGCAAGATATCTGAACGATGTTACTAGTATATTTGCACCTGAATTTTTTTTTTTAATTTACAAGAAATCTGCATTAAATTTAATTAAAAATCTGTGTGAATAAGATGAAATTGCTTTTTTTCACAAGCAATGAAAAGAGTTTAAATAATATTACAAGTATTTGAAAACTTTTAAAATTCTATAGTTTGGCCATTGTACATATATACTGAAATGCATTTTTACAGATTTTGTTTTCTTCTAAGCATTCATTGATAGAATTACTTTGGGGGGGATTTTATTTTACAGCTTTCATTATGTCTGATAAAAACGGTAAATTCGAGGGTAAAAAGGAAAGAATTCGTTTCACGTTTATAACTCATACTTTTTGGAAAGAATAAATTGTCTGGGATGCACAGGAACAGATTAATTAAAGGTGTATTAAGTTAGTACCTCTACGAAAGAGGGCCGGCAAACGAAGCCGAGAATGATATGTAGAAATCATACCCTCGACTCTATAAACACGTCAAGCGCTGACGACTGAAGCAGTTCCCGGTCTCCAAGCCAAGAAGAATTGGTCGATAAGTTAATTCGATGGATTAAAAGAACCAAAAAGTTTTTTTCTCCTCGTGTTCTATTTTGGCAAGAGAGAAAAAACTAGAGATAAATATTTTTTTTTCAAAGTATCCTTTGAGGCAAAAAAGAGCAATAAAATCGGAATCATACTGTTAAAGCAAGGGAGGATCGTGTTTGGAAACAATTGCACCACTATATCCTAAGGAAATGGCAGGGAGTGGTATTTGAGAACACGCCGATGAAGTGACGTATGGCGAAATAAACATATCGAAAAATGTTTTAATAAGATAAGACTTTGATATCAACTTCGTGTTGAAGTATGACTCTTTTCGTGAGATCAAAATGTTGATAATTGACATGAAATTTTCCTTAAGGTTTTGTTAATAACAAAAAATGTCATTTATTCACTTTTTGATATAAGCTGCGGTAAGGACCTCAGAGAGTTTGCTTCAGAAGTCATGGAGGATACGGGAAATTATTCCAATGAATATTATGAAGATTATTACGGCTATTGGGATAATTATTTTAATTACACCTATAGTTATGAAAGTTCGGACTGGCTTCCCTTAAATGAACTGGTTCCAAGTGTGACATTTTACAGTCTGATCGGCTTGCTTGGCATTGCAGGAAATGTTCTGGTCATCGTCGCCATTCTTACCTTCCCTCGTATGAAGAACATTACGAATGTTTTTCTTCTTAGTTTGGCGTCAGCTGATCTGTTGCTGGTTTTGATTTGTGTTCCGATCAAGGTATTTATCAACTAAATGATTAATCTTTCTGCATTGTTCTAAGCATTGAAGGTGTATACATTTTCGAGTAAGAAGACGTAGAACGATCAAAGTACATATGAAAAGAGAAAAATTCATATAAAGATTTTTTTAATGTATTATATTAATATTTTCAAATTATAATTAGATTAATTAGGCTGCTGAACTTCTTTTCCTTGTGAATCTATAAAGAATTATTTATCGGAAAAATCAACATTAACATTGCTCGTGAAAATTAATCATTTCTTATGAAGGTGTGATATCATAGAGGTAGAAATTAATCAACATGAAACTTTAGAAATGAAATCATAATGCTTTTTGAATGATTAATAGTAATCTCCCAAGGAGTTATTTTGAATTTTTCTGAATTTGTATGACATTGTTAGAAGTACCTTGCACGATTCTGCCTCTCAGATGTCCGGTTTTAACTCCTCGATAAATTTTTCTTAGTCCGGTTTGGACTTCTTAGGTTTGCAGATATTTATTAACCTGTTCGCTAGCTTATTATCATCCCAGCTGGAGATTTTTTAATTGCAGTCTTAATTTAAAGAGAAATAACACTTTTGTGTGTGATCATACATTGAAGAAAAATTGATTCTGTAAAGATTTTAAGTGAAGATGTATGTAATTGACCAAAAGTAGTGTGGAAATAAGAAAACCAGAGAAAAAAATTAACCATGTCATAAACCTGTTTAACAAATGTCGGCCAAATTTAAAAGTTGATAATTTACAACGTTTCATCTCCAAATTAACTGCGAAATCAGCAAAACGCCAGTGTAAATTAGGCATCAAAAGAAAACACCGTTTCCCTATTGATTTAATAAAATATTAGTACAATAATGTTTACCAAGAGAAGGCTTTGATTGACAGCGCCTTTGTTGTGCTGTAATCTGATGATCTGGAGAGCCAAATAACAACATACATCATGGACATTAACAGCAACCCTTCTCAATTTTTCTTCGTACTTCAATTTTTCGGAGAGTTCCAAGGTCATTAACATGGTCATAGATCACTAAATGTTCTTATTTTACGCTGTCTAGGAAGTTATTATCCTTTTTGGACTAGCATTTTCATTTTCAAGTATACAGGAAATGCAACTAGAATTTTCAATAGTATGAATGTCAAATACGAATTTTAGAACCTCATGATTTACGTCTATTCCTTATACGTATAAGTATCCTGTATGTATGCGATGTCCATTATTCGGCCATTGATCTGAGGCATTTAAGTTTAAAAGAATCTCTAGTAACGTTAAAACTCAAATTCCAGTTCAATAAAACCCATGATAAGTCTGGAGATAGTAGAAATAAATAATTGTTCGTAAATTTTGTCATAATTTTAGTTATCAAATATTTATTTGATAAGGATAAATAAAAATTTAAGAATTAGCAAGTTTTCAGGAGAGGAAGCATAGAGACCAGTGTCACTCTCTGTAAAATTCTTAATTGGCCCTGGTAAAAGGGATTAGATTTCCCTTTAGTGACCTCCCTCTCCCGAGAAATTTATCTTAAAGTAAGGTCTCCCGGCCCTGCCGTGGACATAGGTGTAGGATTTCCTTTCAAGGGAGGAACGCACTCTGTTCACCAGTGTGACATTAACAGACTTAAGTTATTGATAGATAGAAATCTGTTACTACAAAAATATTAATTCCTATAAATAAACCCACAGCTTAAGAAGAAAAACACCCCAAATCCCAGACACCGATATTTTTATTTTCTCTGTGTGTATTTGCATTAAATACTCGAAATGATGGCCTGCTTTCTTACTTTTATTCCCATTGCAAAATGTTGCCTACTGCTTTTCGCCGTGAGTAAGATAAGATTAAATGTTTGGTTTCTCCATTTGCGTTGTGCTCAGTAATTTGTTTGAACAGTAGTAATAACCACATCTGACTTCATTAATATTTTACGGAAAATTAATTTTTGCTGTGCCGAAGAATTTTTTGGAAACAGGACTATTAATGAATTTACATTAACAAAGATATGGGATGAATTGTATCAAATAGTTATTTTATTTTTCATAAATAAATAACATAAGGTGTAATTATTGATGTGCTTTTAGAAACCAATATATGTTTCATTGATTATTGTTCTTAATGTAAAGAAGCCAGCGGACGGTTGTCGGGATTACATATGTACGACTGAAAAATTGTATTGGTTATCACTACATCTAATTTCCTGTGATGTCAGTTTCTGTAAAATGGCACCACACTTTTTCAGCAGAAACAGCAGAGTAAATGTTCACAAATATAAAAGGTAAAGCTAATGAAAAAAGGTTTTAAATTGTGGGATTTTTTTTTTTCGGTTGCCTTCATTACATGCTTTTTTATGACTTATCTTGAATGTGTTCGTATTTTTTTAATTTATACATTCTAAATAGAACATATTGATTTTTATCAACACATTTGGCGTTGTAAAAAATTATAAAAACTGAAAACAGAAGTCATTTCCTTTTTTTGGGGGGTGGGGGGGGGGTGGTGGTGGTAAAATGATCAAAGTATGCTGTAATTGTTAAAAGATGCGATAATACTTTGAAATTACAAATGTATTTATTTCCCTGGGGTGGGGTTATGCATGTATGCTATAAGGAAACCCAAGAATTCCTGTCCTCAGCGAAATATGAAATTTTGACATAATTATATATTTTGACTTTTATGAAGCTGTGTAGTTAAGGACAGATGATACAAACAAAGAAAAATGGATGCCTGGATTGGTATATATTTTTTGATCTACTTTGGTTACAAATGATTAGAGTAATAAATTTCTAAAATACTATGAAATTGTAAACTTTCTACGTTGTTCAAAATTCCACTTTTATGCAACCATCTTTATTAATCTATACAAATTTTTGTCACCTTAAATCCAAATAATGTGAAACTTTGAAAGAAAAGTGAAAATCTATACGGTTAAACTTATTCATTTTGCTTATATAAACATGACTTAAGTTGTTGTTTCCAAGATTGTTGATAAAAGTTTGTTTGTGTCATCTGTCCTTAAATTTCACATTGAATAATGTACTTGTTTTTATTACTGATAATTTCAAACGTCAATTTACTTCCGAGGGAAATTAAATTCTGATATTTTCTTCTTGCAGCGACACGCCCTGTCCCATGCCAAGAAATTGGAATGCATCACATGGATCGCGAAATGTCTCCTGCAATTGCTAAAAATCTTCAGTTTAATTTATTTTTTACAGTGTACAGCGTTTTTTACCTACACATGGCAGATAGGCGGATTCCTGTGTACGTTCGTGGCCTACATTCAGAACGTGTCCATGGTGTGTTCAGTCATGACGCTAACTGTGATGAGCATAGAGAGGTACGCCATTAATTCTTCTATTTCAAAGAAAAATCTAAAATCTATAACCCTGCTGTCTTCCAGCATATAATATCGAACACGCGATTCATAAAAAGGAATATGTCAGTTAATATTTCAAAAGAAAGAAATGGTAGATTAGTAGGAAAACTTGTTAAGACTAAAATATATAAGTAATTTTTCATGTTGTTAATTTTTGTATTTTTGGAGTGGGAGGTTCTAACAAAAATAAGAACACGACAAATAACAATGTTTTCTAAGTGTAGAGGCAGAAAACAGCGCCAAAATCTTCATCTGTAATCAAATTTATTGAAGGAAAGTGTTCTAAAAATGGAAGTGGAGATTCAAGGAAATTTGCCCAACCTATTTTTATTACATTAGTCAATTATGTGAAGTCACGGTCACTTTCATTATAACGACGCATGTACTTTCTCGATGTCGCCTTGAACTGGTACCCTTCCAAAGAGACCGTAGAGACTAAAAGGGTTGGTCTCAGATGTTACAATTTAGAAAAAAAGGATAACTAAGATATTACTTCGAAATAAAATGTCTAGATCAATTACAATAACATTTTATATCTTTAAAGAAAAGTTCTTATTTGGTCAAAAGTTCTTAAAAATAATTGAAAAAAAAGTTTTAAGTGTTTGTAGTTCGACCTGATAACGAGAAAGAAGGAAGAACTATAAATCATTTTGTCCTTTGGGACTTTTCTGGATGTATAGTACTATAAAAGTAATTTCCAAAATGTTTGTCTTCGTTCTTCAAGAGCACAATTACTACTGTATCTAATTTAAAATAAAATCCATTTATCAACTAAAATATATCAAAAGTGAATTTGCCTTGCAGTCACATAAAATATAATCAGCCGGCTTAGTTACAACTGAGCCTGAGATAATAGGTATATCACAGGCACCTGACTTTACTTATTTTTCTTTTAATTAAAAATATACCCCTACCTAATAAATTCACGTGAGTTTATTAAGTAGGGGTATATTTTTTATTAAAAGAAAAATAATTAACGTCAGGTGCATGTGGATGAACCTCGTTTAAAGTCAACATTTCGCAAATACTAGGGTAGCAAATTAGATTCAACTTGCTGCTGCGTCGATGGTTGACTGCATTTTTCATATCTTTTTTTTCATACTTGCTCTGTTTATCTGATCAAGACTATGGGCTCACAGTCGGTGTTAAGGTCGACAGGGGGCTGCTTACTCCTCCTGTGGCATCTGATCCCCTAGTGTTTTCAGGGGTCTGTGTTTGCTTGCTCTCGATTTGTATTGTTTTATTGAATTTTGAAATTGATGAAATTGATAAATGTTCATTATCTTCAGAGTAAACACATGTATTTTTATTAAAACACCTAGAAAAAATTAGTAAGAATTGGTCAAGTTCATCTGGAATAGCAGCCCAAAAGTCTACAAATTTATCAAATAGCAATATATACAACCTTGGTCACCGAGAATCCCTACGATTAAAAATTTCTGGAGCCTAAATTTTCTATATAATTAATACAATGTCATCCATTAATTACAATCACATATATTTCTATACAAAATATATTAATTATTATTATCATAATATATATATATATATATATATATATATATATATATATATATATATATATATATATATATATATATATATATATATATATATATATCACAAATTATTCACATATGCAAAAAGCAGACTTGACTTTCACATTTGGATGAAATGTGAAGATAACAAACAGTGATCATACTAAAATGACCATTGAAACAATACAAATTCTGAGCAAAACAAATACGGACCTCTGAAAACAGAGAATCAAAGGTGGATCAGGTACCTTGAAGGAGTAAGCATCTCTTGTCGAATGTTCACACCCGCCGAGTGCTTTTTTTATGTCATGACCAGGTAAACGGAGAAAAGTAAAGAAATAATGACCTAACAGTTTGTTTGAAAGACATCGGCACTAACGACCGTTTGCATTTGCAAAGAAGGCCATTGTATCGTCCATAAAATCTGCGAAATATTGACTTCAAACGTGATTGTAGATACCCTTGCATCAAGTTAGTGAATACTCAAAAAACTTTTTGAGGTTATCGGGGTTTCATGCATCAACTAATTTGAAATTTATCGTTGGTGTGGCATTAACAGGCCTTAGGTACATTACATGAAAACAATTGTCCTTCCTGACATTTATACATAGTAGAATGCTTGCATTTTGATTAAAATGCTTATATTTTTCATGAGCGGTATAACTTACTTAGCGAGTTCATGGTGTTAGTTTGGAAAGAAAATTGAAACTCCGGATTTTTATTGCTTCGTTTCGAATCCCAAGAATGCCACATTTTTTTAAATCATGGAATGATTTTGGCCGAAACAATTTTCCGCAGAAAAGATTTGTTTGTCATAATTTCGTACTTTTTAATGATAGGAACTTTACTCTAAATACTGTAATTCATCTCCTTTGTGGTTGCACCATCATGGTTTCTTTCTTTTCTGTTAGAAAAAGGAATTAAGTTTCATTCGTACTATCGTACGTTCTAGATCTGCAAATATGAACCAGCTCTTGTGAGTTGTAACTTACTTATAACTTGATACAAACAAATCATTGGCTTTTCTTCTATGCCAAATGTTTGCACTTCGTGGACTTTTTTTGCAAAGATTCCAAGAAATTTCCTATTTCATTCACAGGGGAAAAATACGAGCTTGTTTACAGTACTTTGAAAGACGTATTTGTAGGAAATAATGACACTTGTTCGATCGTTATTATATTACTGGCGATAAGATGTTTAAGTGTTCATTTTCAAACGTCAAACCAGATCAGCCAAGATGAATAGTTTCTTAACGGGATCTCCTGGAATTCATTAAATATCATATAACTGTTGATGCTGTCAAGACCATGATTCATCTATAATTGTGGAGATATCTAATGAATTTTGACCATATCTTGTCCACTATGATTTGCTAATATCTAAACAATCACAAGAATGTTTGAAATTGTGTACAAAAGTAGTAAAAATACTTAGTAAAATTAATTTTAATTAGAGTCCATTTGTGAGGTCTACATAACCATTTAAAAAAAATTGGAAATCATATTCACGTTTTCCCAATAATATTAAAACTATAACATTGATCATGCTTTTTATGGTTTCATTTATTTACACCTGTATTATTTTTGTTTGAATTTAAATAAAACATATTTTTTTCTTGCCTAGATTCCCCTTAAAAATTGAAAGACTAAATAAAAGCTCTAGAAAGACATACTAGAAATGATTTTTCTCGTATTCTTTAAATGATTCAGTTATTGTGAAACTGAAAAAGTTAATCCAATAATTAGTAATGCAATTTCAATGAATAACAGTGTCCGAAGTGAATTGCTAGCTTTTGCTAATTGCAACTTATTATTTTTTCATTAACAGATTTGTTGCTATTCTGTATCCTCTCAGAGCAAGATCAGTTTGTACCATGAAACATGCGAAAATTGTTACCATTTTAATCTGGATTGCCTCGTTCATCATCGCTCTACCAACTGTGTTTGTTCAGGTCAGTAAATCCTTGTATCACATCAAAGGAATCATGTGATAACAATCAATAAGGGGGGGAATTATATAAACATACTCACTTCTTCTCGCAATAAAAATTTCTCAGACACAGGAAGTACTGTATATAAACTGAATATCTGTAATATAAATAAACATTTGATAAGCCAAAAAAATTACTTAGTATCAAGAAAAATTATTATGTAAACAAACGTGATTTCTGGATCAGGCGAAATGAATTCTTCGTTGTAGAAGCTGAAAGAAGTTGGTAATGATAAAGTCACCGCCCACTGGTGTGTGAAGCAGTTTTTGTCCCATGGCTTCGAGATTGCTTACGAAATTTACATGTTTGTCATCCTGTTTACGATCCCCCTGAGTGTGATGTTAGTTACCTACATAAGAATATCCTTGGAAATATGGGACGTGGTATCAAAACGGGCAGTATTAAGATCTGGGAGGTATTACATAATGTTGACGAATTTATTGCGAAATTGTTTAAACACACGCCATTTAATGATTTTTTGATGAGGACTCCGCGGTGATTTTTTAAAACATACTGTTGATAAGATTCTGTATGAGACAATGATGCTATTGAGAAGAAAACTATCTAGAGGCCTCTCTGTGAGCTAATACTCACCATTTGACTGACTGACTGCACATTGCATAACGATCCCGATATTATCGATGCTATGTTAGAAACAAGAAAGGAATCTTCATTCATAATGTCTAGAGGTCTCTGTTTAAAAATTTTTTCCCATGGTTAAAAAAACGCAACCATTCAACAAAATCACCCATCTCTGAATTTAAGAGCCATTCTCTGTAACCACTTAATTTTTTTTGCCACGCATGATCACTGATTTTGATGAAACTTTACCAGTTATTACAACTTGACACCAAAAACATATATCAAATAAAATTTGGTTGCTATGTGTCTTGTTTGCAATGGTAACAGCCGGAAAAGTTTTTTAAAAAATGAGATTTTCAGCTACTTTGCATCTCTATTGATCCTCAATAAAGACTAAGAAAATCAAATAAACCGTTATAAGAAAAACATTATACCCTATTGCCACTTATGCTTTAAAGAAACTATTTAGAATATATCTCTAAGTAAGTGGTAAGCATGGGTACATTTGGAATACCTTTTTAATGCTTAAAAGTGTTGAAAAACGCTCAATGTTCACTGATGGTAGGTGACACGATCAAACTCAATCAACAACAGAAGAAAAACAATAAAAATATTTGACCTTAAGTTATTAGGTATTTTAAAATAACTCATGGTTGCCTTGGTAACACAGTGTAGCTATACAAAGTTTGTTGCTATGTTTTGGTCAGTGTTGTTATCTTGAGGAAAAACATGGAAATTCAAGACTGGCAAATATACATCGATAGGACCTTGTAACACAGGTAGCAAAAGAAAAGAAAAATTGGGATCAATGTAACCATGGAAACAAAGTACAAGGGATTTAAAGGGGATTTTTTCGCTGCTTTAGGAATTTAGTTACCTTTTAATCAGGAAACATATTATTTGATTCACCTTAAATTAAACTTATTAGATAGAACGAAAGTTGAATATTATATACATGTATTGATAAAGCTTGATGAAGAAAATATCACTCAGTGTTGCTATTTTACCAAGAAGGGAAAATGTTCGATTTTGTTAACTTTATAGCAATACGTTTAACCCTTTGTTGTAACTTCTTGCATCCAGATAGAGGTTGTGTGGTAGTCAAAATTGAATTTGGAAATCTACATATAAGAGTACGTATCTAAGGAAACAAAATATTTTACAGCTTTTTTGTATTTTTTTCCAATAATTTCCACAGGAACCCTCAATTTTAAGAATTTAATTCGAATTTTTTAAAAATTGAAAATTAGGACCACCCCAACGCCTTTAAAAATTGATGACCAGTTATATAGAAATGTGCTTTTTAAAAAGATAAGATCAGATTAAAAGATACAGAGAGTAAATTTGAAATCCTTTTGCGGTATTAAACCATGGCAACCATTGCCATCCAATAAGAATGATCACATTCCGTCCTTAGTATATATGTCTATTATGTGGATGCATTTCAGTCTACAATTGCTTGTTTTTTGAGTGTATGGCTTTCTAAAAATAAAAGAATAAAATTTATTTCTTTGAATACCTATTTGTTTACTGTATCAAAGGTTTTCATCATAGAGAGTTTGGAGAAATTCTGAGACTATGCGTGCCACAGCTCCTATATAAAAGTTCAAATTATTACAAAGAATGGCTCTTAATTGGTGTAAAATAACCTTGCCTAGGAACATTATAACGAATTGCCATCTATCGATTTATCCATCCATTCATCCATCCTTTTATTTCTAAAAGAAGTGTAAAGTACTCTAAAACAATTTTAAAATTATAAGTTTCCTTCTGTATTGCCTGTTTGTGGGCAATATGTAGCATTTTTCGTAGGACCATATTTTTCTGATTTTCAAGTCAGATCCTTCTAACTAATAGATAATGTCTGTTGTAAGATAAAATTCACTTAGGAGGCGAAATAACTGCTACGAGCCAGTTTTCTTTTTCGGACAAGTCACTATGGCATACCGTGGAATCATCATTGTTCGTGTGGTCACCGTTACTCAAGTTATATGTCAAAATATTTATTAATTGAATCTTTTGTATATACGAGTTACCCAAAAATTACGTCCAAACGAACCAATAAAATTTTTGCTTACCCAAGAACATTGACCCCCCCCCCCCCCCCCCACGAATGAAAATGATTCCACAGTATTGATTTTGTACACAGCTTCTTTTAAATTTTGACCTTTGCAAATTGATCTATGGAAGTATAATCAACAAATACTTCTTAGCTTATTCGATCTTAATGATAAACTCTCTCATTATCGTATCTATTTAATGTAATTCAGTTTTCCCTACAGACCTATAAATTGTTGAAAGCAAATGTAATTTCACTTAAACTGTCTTCTTCTAATTAAGATTCATGTATTTACGGTACTTCTTTCCTGAAAATTATCAAAATATGCTTTACAGTAAAGCTAAGTATTTTTATTTTCATCGTCTAAAGTATCCATTTTTTTTTTTTAAATTGCCTTTCTCCTTGTTTGCGTCATGTTGAATGTCCAAATGCTCCCACTTGCGTATTGATTTTATGTTTAAGGACTTCCGACATAAAAAACCGCTTTTGTCTTTACACCATTTCTTCATCTCTCTACTTATCATACCAATTAGGCCATATCTTGTCTTCAGATTAATCCAGATAAATCTAGAAATTAGGACAACGCATACGAGATCCAGTGAAAGTTAACAATTAATCAGAGTAATGCACATTCGTCCCAGCAATTTAGAAGTCTATATGTCTCTTTAAGTAATTTATCTAATTCGGGATGGATAAAAACAAAATTTATTTCAATACACTAAATATACTATAAAAACCTGTCCTGTGTACATTTTATCAAATATACATGTTGAAAACGTCCATTTACAAAAAAGGTCCTTAAGCTTGAAGAAAAAGTGCGGTAGCTTTTCAGGTCCACTTAAGTGTATAAGCTTTTGAAGCAACAACAACAACAAAACAAAACCAATGAGATTTAAAAAAAAAAAAAAAAAAAGAAGAAGACAAGATTATGACAATTATTGTAATACTAAACATTTTTTTCCGCTCACGTGATTGACAGTGAGTACAGTTACACTTCTACCACTCCAAGCAATGGCGGTATGAAGAGAGAAGCATCTTTTCTGAACCAGTCCTCTTCAAGAGCATCCACAAAGTCAGCACCAATTACATATAACGAAGATGCCAAAACCAGGAAACAGGTAAACGTAGGTTGAGATTTCGTTTCTCTCGGGGTTTGACGGTGTAACGACGTATTATCCTTTAAGGTTATTGAAATAATAATTTTGTCTCTGAATAGCTTCTATACGAACTACGCAAAATTTCACATAGCTTCTACGTACTATGCAATTGAAAACTGATGAATCCTTGAAGAAAATAAACTTATCTTAAATATTTTTCAGGTCTTATCTATGATTACCTTATTTACCTTTCCCATGAACATTAAATGTTGTATTTCAGTGGAAGCAGCAAATATTTGAGACGATTTGTCACCCTACAGCATTTATTGTCGCCGTATCATATACCCGGTACTAGTATACATCATTCAACAAGATGGTACTTAATGAAAATGCCTTTCTGATTTTCAGGTCATTTTAATGTTAATGGTGATAGTTGTGCTATTTGCAATTTGTTGGGGACCCATTCTTTTGAACAATTTGCTGGTTGCATTCAAAGTTATTGATAATCTACATACGGGCATCCTGAAGCCAATGCGCATGGCCTTCCATCTTATGTCGTACGCAAACAGCTGTGTCAACCCAATCGTGTATGGCATAATGTCCAAAAATTTCCAAGACAGTTTGAAAAGTGTTCTAAAATGTTTCAAGTCGCCGCAGACCTATAGAACCTATGTTTACAGTACCGATACAACAAGAGCATCCATTTTGAAATCAACATGCAGCAACAGTGAAAATGGTTGTATAGAAATGACTTGAAAATTCACAAAAGTGTTAAGATATTGACCTGTCACATTTAAAATGTATCAATAATAATCATAGTTTCTCATACTTAGTATACAATGTATTTTACGTATTTCTGACGTACTAGCTGGACGTATTTTTTAGTGCAGTGATATATATTTCATTGATGTTATAAGAATCGTTCGGAAATATGTATGCATACATGTATGAATAAGTGTTCATGATGAAAGGGTACTTAGGATAGTGTTATTGTCACTGCAAATGTATTTAACTGTCAGAACCATGCTTTATAATACAATATATACGCGTAATACAGATAACCAAACGTGTATCAGAAGGCTACAGATATATGTAGACGTCATGGCACTTCCGATTTTGTAAAGTTGAAAACATTTTATAATTAAAAAAAAGAGAAAACTAATTTTAGGATCTAAAGGATGCGATTTCCCCACCATTTACACTATTTACAGTATTGTGTACATGTCTTTCATTCATGTTTGAAGCGAGTCTTTGATTCATGTTTTAACTGTTCTTGTAAATAAATCATTAGTAGACATTGATTAATAATTTCCTTTTTTTTACAACAAAAAAGGTCTGGTTACAGCATGTCATCTGAGTTACTCGAGGCAGCAACCACTGTCACCGTGTGTTGTTTGCCTTGAACTTCTTTTTTAAACTTATGAAAATTTCAACCTCTTCAATGAAAGTCTCATTTTGCTTATTGTATTTACGAATATTGGAGCACAAAAACCCTTAGCACTGTAGGATAAAGGGACATTTTCGTAGTTAATACCATAGGTCAGTGCTTCGGATTTCAGATGAAACACTAAAAGTCGCGTCACTAATCATATTTTTAAAATCTGATTTTGTACTCTTAGACATCTAGCTTACAGACTATATGCACAACAGTGATGGACACTGTGCCATCACTATTATGCACATAGTTTGTACGCTCGATGTTCTCGTCCCAAGACAGAATTATTTTGATTATGAAGGGTGCTGAGAATATTAAATTTTCAAAAGTTGGCTTGAAAATTAGTAGGAAAGTCTCTAGATCAAAAACAGAACAGACCTAAGTTAAAATGAAAAGAATTGTATAGCTTGTGAAATAATATCGAAAATAGAACAAAATTTTCATCATGTATTTGTAACTTAATAATATAAACTTGGAACTTTTTAAAACATGTTTGTTGAACAAAAACCAAGATATTCAAAATATAAATTTTGCTCTTTTAATTAAATGTCTGTTTTCACTTTATGGGCCTCGGAGCCGGGTCTCGATCCTTTGCACATCTCCATCAAAAATTAGGAAACAGCGTTAACTTAGTTTAAGAAATATAGGGATACGGCAATTTGGAAATTCAATAATAGGAATTGAAAGGGAACACATAGAAATTCTTACCTTGCGAACAGGGAGTGCAGAAACATAATTTATAGGGATGTCAACGAATATTCGAACATTCGAATATTCATTCGATAAGTTGATATTCGAATATGAATTTAAGATTCGAATATTCGGTGTTTTTCAGATTTCATAAAAAAAAGTACTGTGATTAATAAATTTTGATTGGAACAGTGCTGGAATTATCCCTGTTTAATCTACTAGCGATCAATTTCGATCGCCCGATTTCTTTCGCTATTTTCTTATCTTATATAGATCTACTATATTATTTTGTTTTGAGTAAGGTGTTTAAGATTTATACAATAATGCTTTATGTATAATACAAAACGTACTTTCATAGTTTTTATTAGTTAAATACGATCGAATCTAGAATCGAGGACAACGAAATGAAAACCTTCTTAGAATGTCTACAAGACGTGAACAGTGTACTTATCAAAACAAATTTAATTGATCATTCAAATAAATATCCGATAGAATTAGTCTGTAATTAATATTGTAAAGGGCTCGATTTTAGAATAAATGAGTAAATTACTTGATTATCTCAGGTTGTACATAATCCTGAATTTTATATTCATTATCGGGAAATTAGTCAATTACCTAGGAAAATTGTCTATGGAATTGTTTGTTTATATTTTAAAAACATTGTATCGAAGATTATAATCATATCTCTTATTAGGCTGATAAGTGTAATTAATTACACGTATTGAAATCTGAACAGTATACGACTATCTTGCCTTAGGTAAGACGACTGGCTCCTCATTTGGGGCTACTATAAATACATATGTATCATTTGTTAAAATTATATTTTTCTGCATTTAAATCACTTATTTATTTCAAACATTGACAAGTATCAAATGGAATCCCTTATTGTACACCTACAAAAGTTTTCATACAATTTTATTTTAAAATATAAGAATACCTACACTAAACCTTTCATGAGAGTAGGATGATGCATTCAAAATATACCAGATTTTATTTATTTTATCGAATATTCGAATATATTCGAATACTTCATTGAATATTCGAATATGAATTATTGACAAAATTGACATCCCTAATAATTTATATATTTACTTGGAAGGAGAAAGATGAAGCCAACTCTATCTTATTTGCTTAATTAATTCTTCCTCAAACATTAATACTTCTGAAAAGGAAATAAAATGTCTGTAGTAATTGTTTTTCAAACAACTGATAAATTTATCGTCAGTTTTTATATTTTGTACAACTATGGAACTATCCTAACATTTTTATGGTGAATGTGTTCGTTATTTATTTTCATTTATTTATTTTGAAATATGTTTAATTTGCATACATACTACAAAATGCACTAATATGATGAACTTTTACTAGAGTAAAATATGCTGTTCCTGGATTCAGATCACGGGGAAGGACTAATTAAATTGACCTTACATTGAAAATGCATTAGATCTTTGATTTGGATTATTTTTTGTTGCATCTGGAATCTAGCATTCAAAGAGTAAGAAATAAGAAGAATTTAATGAAGACTATGGTACCACATGCTCCCTGGTAATGTGATGAAATTTCTGCCCATTAAAACAAACTTCTTTTCTTTGAACTAAGTTCGAATATGCATTAAATCTTTAAAATTCTTGGTGAACCCTGTATACGTTGTTTTATATGTGGCTTTCAAGCTGTGCGTTTGAGATTATTTAGAAGTGTGTACCAAATCAAACATTGAGACCTACTCATACGTATCATTTATCTTAATAATTCCAGGACATTTTCGCAAAATACTGATTGCTTGATCAACTGAAGCAATGAGTCGTCGTCTAAAATTGTAGAATAACGCAAATAGCATGCCACTCCTTTCAAAATTGTCTTTACTTTTGTAGATATAACGAACAAAGTGTGTATTTGACAATATATTACATTGATAAATTTATATCCCCTTAATCCATACTTCATGCCCAGTATAATCAGGCCGAAATTTTTTCGCACTCTTTAAAAAATATATAGTACTTCTTTTTTATTTACTCTTAGGTACCATGTCTAACAAAGGTATCAGAGTAACTTCCTTTACCCCACCTCTGTTGATTTTTCGATGAAATCCTGGCTTACGATTGGTTGAAGTCTGTCACGTGAAGGGGGTGTATTACTTATACCTAGTCGCTTGAATTCAATACATGGTCGATACGGAGTTATCGTTCTTTTGTAACGTTCGAACAACTCGAGTTCAAGAGGTTTGCCGAGTGTCTTTTGACAATTTAACAGTTAACTAATGTAAGTAACGAGATTGAACCTTTTTCTCCCTTTACTGAAAGTCTTCAAAACTGTCAGTACGTTAACACTCGCAAAACAACATTACGTAACACAACATGACGTCATAATAGGCATTGCATGAGTGATGATGAAACATATATATAGTGAGGATAACAATTTTACAAACCATAGACAATATATAAATGTTTTATCGGTGGGGTAAATTCGTTACATAGTTTTGTAGTGACAGGGTACGGGATGATACCTGGTTAGTAAATTTCATACCTGGCGAGGCGAAGCCTTTTGTAGCTAACATATTTTAAGAAATCGCAGTTTATAAGCAAAAGGTCCGTTGTCAGTACATGTTAAGTTTATCTGGTCCGGTGTCATTTTTCTTAACATGTAAGTAAATCAATAAAATGCAACAGAAATGATCAAATATATGCTTAATTTAAAAGAATACAAAGCACATTACAAATACATGCATATTTGAATCTCGGGGTCGTCTTAAAGCAGCTCACACCAACGTGCTAACTATTCTGCGATGTTTTTATTTTCAATTCATTTTCTCTTAGGAACCTGCGTCCTAGCTAGTATGCAAACATATACAATTCCTTGTATATCATCAGTATAACAAAATTAAAATGTTATGCTTAGGTCACATTCGGGCGACCAAATTATTTTTGTATCGTCGGCTGAAAAAAACATGATCGGCCGACACTAGTATCGGGCGACGCAGAGTAGTCATATTAATTCCTAGGAACACCGATACTTTTAAAAGTAAAAATACTTATAAGTTGGCCAACCGTCACCCGATCATCGTTCGCTAGGCCGCAGTTTGATTTTCATCTTCGGTCGACAGTTGTACGAAAACCCCATTCCTAAATGTCGACCGACTGACGACCGACTTTAAAAACTATATGCCGATGGTCGGCCGATGATCGAAGGTTGGTGGACGGACTATTCAATGAGTGCTTCAATTGAATCGGCCACAGACGAAAAAAATAACTTGACCCTACTGACATGCATAAAATTGGTCGGCCGACGAAAAAAAGAGATAAAAATCGGACAAGACAGCGGCCGATAATATGAAACTTGTGTGGAAGCATCCTCAGGTAATGTAGATTCAAGTTTGTTCAAATCATTACCCCCGGGGGTAGGATGGGGCCACAGTGGGTTATCAAAATTTTACATAGGATAACATAGGAAAAATCTTTTCAAATCTTCTCAAGAACAGCAAAGCCATAATTGGTCATATTTATATGGAAGCATCCTCAGGTAGTGTAGATTCAAGTTTATTCAAATCAAAGTTTAACATAGGAATACATAGGGGAAATCATTAAAAAAATCTTATTCTCAAGAACAACAAAAACTTGATTGGTCATAATAAAATAAAAGCATCCTCAGGTAACGTAGATGCAAATTTGTTCAAATCATGACCCAACAGAGGGGCCAAACAGGGGATCATAGTTAAACAAAGGATTATAAAGGATATATCAATAAAAATTTCTTCTTTAGAAAACAAAGCCATTATTAGTCATATTAGTTCAAAAGCATCTTTAGGTGGTGTAGATTCAAGTTTGTTCAAATCATACCCCCTCCACCCCCCTCCACTTTAATATTTAAACTTTTGAATACCTAAGTGATTTCTGCTATTTCCGAACCAAAGTGCTCAGGTGAGGGATGTGGCCCATAGGCCTCTTGTTTTTGGTGGATTTGTGAATGTAATTGGTTTGTAAATCACATTGAACTATGCTATTTCATGCAGCGTGATTGTGACGGTACATTTTGTCTTCCTGTTCATATTGTCGCCGGCGACAATGTGTACAAACACTCACTGAGCATATTGTCGTCCATCAGTACATGTCGCATGACAATGCATGGCAATGTTTCCAGATAGATATGACTAATCATTGCTTTGCTGTTGTTGAGAAGAAAAAGTTTA